TAATAATACAATACAAAAAACCCTATGATGCTTTAAAATTTATTTCTATTGTTTTATTTGACTGGAGTTGTTTCATCAAGAAAGTTGCAAGTTCAAACCCTGCTTCTGCTTTTCTACATGGAGTTTGCACATGCTTCCAGTGCAGGCATCAAGTTTTCTCTGGGAACTCTAGTTACCTCACACAGACCAAAAACACACATGTTGGCTTAATTGATAATCATAAATTGCCAGCAGGTATGAGTGAGAGTGTGAATTAGTTGAATTTCTTGTTTATTCCCAAGTTCTCTGAATAGAGTGATGACATGTTCAGGATGAACCCCTCTCTAAACGACCACTGGAGAAACACCAACTCAATGCTAGATAAAGGATGAATGGCCCTGCGTTGTAGTGTTTGTTGTCTGGTGAGTAACCCTGGATTTACACTATATGCAGCTCTGTTTTAGTCCACTCTGTTCTGCTCCGGTGCAAAGCACAGAGGTGCTCTGAGAAATAATGTGCAGGAAATATTAGACTATGCAATAAATCCAAGGATAAACGTGGAAGCCAGACCTAAATTTGTTAATTCTGTGGAGGACGGACTGGAAACAACTGAAACTGCATCGTTATTGTCTTTTTTAAATCCATATTTCAAAATAAAATGTACATGCTTTGTGTGCATGCATATGCTACATGCTGCATGTTGCCATCTGCCTGCCAAACAGAATGATACATTTTGACAGCATGTATGAATAATTACAACCACATATTTATTAATCTAGCTGGGATTTTGACATAATGTAGATGCCTTTGGTGAATTATTTTGAAAGTACAGATGTTGTGCTTGTTCTTTTACCTGCTGGTGATGTGTGATGTTTATTGACTACGCACCATTGCCGCCGCACGGCAAAAATAGGATGCTATCTTATTTGGGTGTACGCAGTGTAAATGCTCTCATTGATTATAATGCGTGTGTTTTACCTGCAGAGGTCAGAGGGAAGTGCAGCATTAATTAAGGGGTAAAAGTAAACAGTTTTCAAAAAATATTGACGTTTTTAACTTTAAATTTTTTTTGTTGGACATTCAACTGCTTGCACCACCTTTAATGAACAAATGAGTCAATTACACATACCTTAATAAAACAAAATTAGTTTGATTTTGTTTGTTTTCAATAGGACAATGTATGCAGTGAGAACAATAAAACAGGCTAACTTCATATAATTTCCCTTTTAGATAAGCACAGATTTTATCCGCTCCAGTTCAGAAAATTGCCTTTATTCYACTTGATCCCATAGATTTCTCTTGGTCTTTCACTCCCAGTTGCATAGAAATCAAGAAGCCTTGATTTGACAGTCGTGTAGAGTCATTGGTATGAAAAATGCCTCCTGTTTAATGTGAAATTATGAAATCTCTGTAGAGAACAGCYCAGTGACGACACCAGAATCCCTGATGGAATACAGTGTGTCAGGCATGACTCTTCTCCGTTYGTGTACAACATGATGGATTGCATGTTGGTGTGTTTTGGGTTGAAACGAGGAGAAAAACAAGATAAAAATCTGTAAACCAGCAGAGAAATAAATAATCATTATGGCAGCTGCTGACAATCATAAACTGGCAAGTAATTTGGCTGACAAGTGCACTGGATGGTGYGTACCATGTGGTGTCATGGGACTAGGACAGTGATGTATAGCGTGCCCATTGGACTATGTGCTGGTTTGTTTCAGGCAACGGCTTTGCAGCAGTGCCCCGTTGTGCTTCTGGGTGCAGCGTGTTGGGAACTGTTTTACATGCAGTAAATAAAAGAATTAAAGCCACACTAACACAAAATTGTCTGACAGTCTATTGTTTCTTTTCACAGAAAACTGTAACAAAGCCTGAAGTCGCCGAACGGCTGCAGCCAAGACTTTTTTGTCATTAATGATTTTTGAACGCTCTTAGTTGTCCGGCTTCTGTGGATGTTCTTTGTAAAGCTTATATTCACTGTGACTCATGCCCCATAATGGCTGTAATAATAGCTTGCAAAGCCCCCAAAGGTAAGAAGTGTGCCCTTTTCACAAATTATAGGTTGTTATTCAGAATGATTAAGGRATATGAATGTCACAAAGCACAAAGACAGTGTATTTGAGAATAGTGGAGAGTAGAGGAGAGGAGGGTCCTTTCACATAATCATTTAAATGCAACACAGAACTTTGGGTTTTTCATACTATATATACAGGTCTTTCTCAAAAAATTTGCATATTGTGATAAATTTCATTTTTTTTTGTAATGTACTGATAA